TGGTCATGGGTTGTACCCCTCCAGGGTTGCCGTGTACATCATGCTCTGATGCACATATACTAACCCTTTGCATCCATCTGGTGTCTGGTGTTGGGCTGTAACCCTCCAGGATTGTCATGTACATCATGCTCTGATGCACTTATACTAACCCTTTGCATCCATCTGGTGTCTGGTCATGGGTTGTACCCCTCCAGGATTGTCATGTACATCATGCTCTGTGGCGCCCATCCCTTCGACATTTCGGGCAATTCGAGCAATGCGGCCATTCTAGTGCGCGCGGTAGACCCAAAACTTAACGGTAGGCGCTATAAACATATGTCTCCCACTTTAAGTGTGTTCTATATATAGACTCTCCTGAAACTTGACAGTAGGCGCTATAAACAGATGTCTTCCACTTTAAGTGTGTTCTATATATAGACTCTCCCGAAACTTGACGGTAAGCGCTATAAACAGATGTCTTCCACTTTAAGTGTGTTCTAGATATAGACTATCCGTGCATACACCGCAAGCCCAACCGCCTGGTAGGCTTAAACCACACGTGCACACACTGACTACTAGTGTAGAGGGTATATACATGTTAGTACCAGTTAAACTCAATACGTAGAGCTTAGCCAAGCCCAACCAGCTGGTAGGCTTACACCACACACGTGCACACACAGATTACTAGTTCGTACCATTCAAATACATAAGAGTACGTGTTCAGATACAGGTTAGCCATATAAACATTCAGATTCATGTTAGTTCCAATCAAACTCAAATACGTAGAGCTTGGCCTAGCCCAATCAGCTGGTAGGCATAAACCACACGCGTGCACACACAGACTACTAGTGTAGAGAGTATATGCATGTTAGTCCAATTCAAACTTAAATACGTAGAGCTCGGCCAAGCGTGTTTAGTCTGAACAAGTGGACTCAGTCCGAAGTGCCGTTGTGAACGACGCAGTCTTTCTGTATACACACACACACACACATCTATTAACAACAGTGCATGTGGTACACCATGTACTCTATGCCCGCAGGCAGATCAGTTGAATCTCACGCGTGATTTGTAATCCAAAACGCACGCCGTTTGGCACTTAACACTTAACTGTATTCAGTCCCTTACACCAGATGGCTTTAGGGTTTACTTATCTGTATTCAGTCACTTACACCAGATGGCTTTAGGGTTTATGGTTTACTTATCTGTATTCAGTCTCTCACACCAGATGGCGTGTTGTGATTTCAGCTGTACTTTGTTCGCCACTTATCTGTGTCTCTGTCCCTTGCACCCGACGGTGTAGGCAGTCGCATGTGGCCCAAACTGAGCGAAAGCGCGCGAGATCTGCTCACCCGATTGCTGGACCCAAATCCCGAAACCAGAATCACCGCCAAACAAGCCTTGGACCATCCCTGGTTGGGAGGAACAGGTGCCACCGACACTGCACTGCCTTTGGTAAGCGTACTTAGTAGGTCGTTTTGTATATATTTGTACCTTGTGTATGATTGTGTTGTTGTGTAGAGTATGCGTCACCCTTCATATCGCGCATATATATGTATATGTATGTATATATGTATATGTATGTATATATAAATATATATGTATGTATGTATGTATGTATGTATATATGTATGTATATATATATACATGCGTATAAATATGTTACATATATATATATATATGATGTACATATGTATACGTATATATAGAAATATGTATATATATATGTGTGTGTGTGTATGTATATGTATATATAGGCAACATGTGTTGATACCTCCTTTTAATTGTTTATGTGACTGATCCAGTATCTTGTCGAACGACACGGCCTATTTGTGCTCCAACTCAAGTCATAATGAGTCATAAGTAGACTGTGTCGAATATGCCATACCTATGCGTTGAAGCGTTTTTCTTAACGTGCGGCACTTCAAAAGCAATAGGTCTGTAAGATTAAGAGCATATTTTAATGTATCACAACTGTCTGCGTCAAAGTGTGTATTATATACAAATGCCTGGCAAATATGAACAAAACTTACATAAACTGTTTTGACAAGGCAGGTGGAACAATATTTACACAATTCCATATGCATGTGAGGCTGTATTTTTTGCACAGATCTAAATCGATTGACCCAAACCCTGATACACAATCGGCGCAACAAGCAAATACGTTTACGTGTTTTCTACAACTAACATAAACATATTTATCTATCCATATATATCTTTATATATATATATAAAGATATATATGTATGTATATATATATAAAGATATATATGTATGTATATATATTTATATACATATATATATATATATATGTACACACGCATATACATATGTGTGTGTGCGTGTGTGTGTGTGTGTCTATATCTATATATATTTATATAGTATATATGTATATGT